TATTCATTCTGGAAAAAGAAACCTGCCCATGTTCCTTCATGCAAGAGGATTCCTTAGCTCATTTTCTGAACTTAGAAGCCAACAGGAAAAAGTTGTGTTCCGAACTTGGGGTCCAGCGATCAAACAGGCCTGGGTGCAAATCCTGGATCTTCCCCATTTTTCCTGTGTGACCATTTTCTGTGAGCCCCATGCTCCACTGTGAGTAACAATACCAATAGTTATAATAACAACATAATTACATTGTTGCAGAGGTGAAAAAAGATAATAATTGTGAAGCACTTCCCACCAGTCATGCCTCCTGGACAATTTGCCCTGGTCTACCTGGTGAGGGCCTGGCAGCCAGTCTCACCTTCTCAGCCCCTGGTGTGTGACTGGTTCCCGACACACGCACCTCAGTGCTGGGCCAGCAGGTTTACTGAAGGAGCAGGAGCTCTTCCCTGCTGCCCACCCTATCCTGGTGCTCGGCTTTTCCGTGTTCTGCAGTGTTGGAAAAGGAAATTACTGAACAGATTGCAATTAAGGGGGAGAGGGGGAGAGAGAGACAGAGGCCCTAAAATGCAGCTTGACTGAGCGCTAAACTGTGTTTTTGCCCCGAGCCAATGAGGAGCCTCTGACAAGAGCCTTTCCCACTTACACCTCTAATTGCGGGAGGTGTGGCTGGGGTGGCTCTGGGAGCCCCGAGGAGGAGCGGCTGCAGCACCTCTGTTCTCTTGCTTATTTCCTTGAAAGTTAGAGGGCCAAGTGGGAGGGGAGGAGGGCAGGTCTTAGGGGCCTGGGAATGCCTGGAATCCAGAATTTCTGCCCATTACCATCATAGCTATCAGTGACTTAGCGCCTAGTGCACTAGGCAGACATAACTTCTTCTAATCCTCCAGAAAGCTCCATGAGGTAGATGATGGGGCCTCATTTTATAGATAAGAAGCTGAGGAACAGTGCGTCCTCACTAAGAGCTGCCTATCGCCCGTCTGGGCTAGGCCCTTTGTTTACATTATGTCTGTTTTCAATCTCCCACCACTTTATTTCTACTTCATAGACGAAGAGGCACCAGAGAGTAAGCATCTTGCCCAAGATCAGAGGACAAATTATGGCTAGGTGAGGACTGAATCGCGGGTCTCTCTCAGATTGCAGTGGACATACTTATGCAAGGTAGCGCACTGTCCTTTTAGTGAGCAGGGTGTTCTGGGTAGTCCCCAGATTTAGCAAAACCAAACGAAAAACCAGGATGGCCAGTTAAATGTGACTGGCCAGTTAAATTTCAGATAGACTATTTCGAGTGTTAAAATGCGTCCCGGATATTGCGTGGGATGTACTTGTATTGATGAGTCTTTGTGGGCAATCCAAGCTTCACTGACGGTCCTGGGGTTTATCTGGCCACTCTGGACTCTCCTTCTCCTGCCTCTAGCTCCACTGTATTCTGCCCAGAGCTTGCCCTTTGAAGATGGCCCTTGGTAACAGCCATGCCGGTGTGACTGTAGACCACCGAAGGAGGAGACAGGATCTTCTGCGCCACAGGGCAGAGCCCAGTGTCATCGCCATCCCTGACACCCGCTGTGCGACTCTGGGCAGGTAGGCCAGTGTCTTCCCTCCCTAAACACTCCCTGATAGGAAGACCCAGGAGGAGGAACTAGGGAACTGCCAGTATCATTTCCAGCTCTAACTTTCCTAAGGGCTTCTCCCTGTTCTTGTCTGTGAACATGAGCAAAACCTACACCTGTGTTTGAATGAGGACAGAGGACACCTAGCCTCTGGGATAGGCCCCCAGGCGGCAGCGTGGGTGAGAGGAGACCCTGGTAGGAGACAGGAGCCATCGGCTGGGTGCACACGGCTGGGAGAGGGCAGAGGACCTTTGTCCTCAGAGCTTGTGCATCATTCAGACCCGGGGTCCGGTCCCCCCACACTCACGGCTCTCTGATCTTGGGTACATTCCTTATCTCAGACCAGTACCCCGTTTCCTGTTTCCTCAACTGTGATATGGGATTAATTAATGCCGCCTTCCCCCCTCCCAGATGTCTGGGAAGTGCTTGGCCTGTAGGAGGGGCTTAATCAAGGGTTGTGTTTATTGGTGCTGGTGTTAATATTATCTCCTGCTGAAGGAGGCTCCTTGAGGAATGCAAACCTCTGGAAGGACAACACATTCACGTCCCTCCCCAAGCTGCAGGGAAGAACACAACACCCTCCAGGCTGCTTTCATTTCAGCTCAATTTTATTTGTCGGATTTTTGACAGACATCTAAATTATACATTGACTTTCCCACATGACCAAATACCGCGTCCCTCCTTTTGATTATGATTTTCAAAAGGAACTATAAAAAAAGAACCTTCGGATGGATCAGACTGAACCCTGAAACCACATGGAGTGCAGAGCTAAAAATAAAAGCAAGTAAGAACTGGCCCCTGCGAAGGAAAGAGGAATCAAAGCAAACTGACGGGAACCAAGGGACAGGCCTGGCGAGGGTGACACGGTGTCACCCTCCAGGCCAGGCCGGATAAGGAGCTGCGGACATGAGGGGTGGGGCTCCGGGTGGCGCAAAAATAGCCACTGCTTTAGCTCAGAGGGGAATAAAGAAATTTGTCAAACGCCAGGAGAACGCGCGGAGCGAGGTGGAGGGAGGCAGAGGGGCAGCAGTGTCGAGCTCGGACTTCTCTCACCCTGGCACATTCCTACCCTCCGGCGGAATCGCTGACTTTCAGCTGTGTGCCGACACGTTCCCCAGCGCAGCCCACATCAATGACACCCTTGTTTCCATAGTAACCGAGGGAGAGTGAAGGGGAAAGGGTGTGCGGCTCCGGGCGCGGGGAATCCAGCCAGGAGGAGCCGCTGGGGTGGAGCCGCTGGGGTGGGTTGGGCGGCGGGAGGGGCCGCACTTTTTCCCACAACTGGTCTGAGCACACGTCCCGGCCGGGCCAGGCCTCGCCCGACTCGCAGGGGTGGTGGTGGTGGTGGGGAGGGGGGAATGGGCATCCCCTTTCTAGTTTCAAATTCTTTTTTTTTTTTTCCCCCCTTTCCTGTTTCAAATTCTGGCTTGGGGTGGGCCACAGGGGGTGCAGGGGAGAGAGAAGGGGACTTTCAAGTTCTGCATTTTCCAGGCTTCTCTCATCTACCCCCAAGAGCCTCCGTAGGGCTCAAAGGGTAAAGGAAAGCGCTGAGCTCCACTGGCTGGAAGGCAAATCTGACCATCACAGAGGCTGTCATCAGAGGTGGGGGCAGCTCCCGCCTGCTGGCCCAGGCCTGGGGAGGGCTCTGTAGAACAGTTCCCCAAGTTGGTGGTAAGAGAACAAAGATATTTTACAGAACATCCACTGCCAGAGTGAAAGTTCCAGACTGCAGTGTTCTGGAAGCAGATACTTCCCAAAGCAAGTATCTTGCTCCTGAGGTAACACCCTGGTGCACTACTTGGAGGGAAAAAGCATTTCCAAGTGCTGGAGCTACAGTTGGTGCCTGACAAAAGGGCCATTTCTGGTTCCCTGTCACTCTGTTTTGCCTTTATCCAGAGCCAGAGAGGCGCACTCAGGTGACAGAGGAGGAGAGAGGCCGTGGCAGTGGTTCCAAAAGCCTCACCTTCTTTTGTTTTGCAAGTCCCTACAGGTCTGTCCACAGCAACCCCAGGGCACCTTTCCGTGTCTGCCTTTGTTAATGACTTCCACTCCAGACAGCCTTTGAAGCTGGTCAGGCTTCAGCCTCACCTGAACATCTCTGTCCAGAAAAGCTGGGGGCTGGGTGGCCCCAGGGCTGCCTGGGCCCCTTTAGTCTGCTCACATTCCTTGCTGGGCTTGGGAAGGGCCACCTCCCAGGATGAGATGGCAGCTGGCCTCCTGGGACCCACCAGCCCCTGGACAGTCTCTCATTCATTCTCTGAAAGCCTTGGCGCTCAGACACCAGAACAGAGTTCAATTCAGGAACTGGGTGATGCTCTGGCCTGCTTTCCCTGTGTCGGAAGGCGGGGATTTCTTAAGGCTCTGGGAAACAAGCTCTTTTTGCAACATGGGGCAGGAGAAGGCTCCCATCATTCCTCTCTGGTCAATCAACAGAGGACACATTTTGCTAGAGAGAGACAGAGGAGACCAGCAGCTGGGGGGGGGGGGGGACTCAGGGCCCCCCTTCCCGCCCCGCAATCGTACACAGGAGGCTTCTTCCCAGCAGAGCACCCTCTCCACCCAGGCCCTTCCCACACCACCAAGTTGCCTGCACTGTAGAAATTGATCTCTTCTCAAAATCGATCTGCCTGGCTTTTCTCGGTGGAGCAGGTTCATGGTAAAGCTGCGTTTATTTTTAAAATCTGATAGCAGCGGCCTATTGTGATAATTTAAACACAGACTTCTTTGAGCTTTAGAAATCCCTTCTATAGGACAGCCATGGAGAAGCCAGCTAATCTGAGTTGGCTACTCGCTGCTCCACTGAACTGGAGAAAGCCTGTTTACGCCAGCCTGAGTCCTCCATGTGAAGGCTTTTTAAGGACCTTGTAATTTTTCTGGAATTAAACCTCCCACTTCTCTTTACATTCCAGATGTCATTAAAGTCAAAAGTCATAAGAATTTGCTTCGTGGTGTGGCTGGCTGGGGGGTGGTGGAAGGGCACGTTTCTGTGGTGACTTGTTTGCAAGGATTTTTTTTTTTTTCCTTTCCAAAGGGTAAGGATTACATACAGTTTTCCTACCTGCATGAGAAGATGGTTTAATCATCTGCTATTCCTCCCCTCCCTGCCTCCCTTCCCCCCAGGAGCTTCCTGAGGGACAGACTGCAGCTCTGGCTTCATTGGTAAAAATCACTGAACAGGACCAGCAAACACTGTGATTTCCGAACCATGGGGGGAAATGTAAGGGACAGGTCAGTAAATAAATGGGACTCAGCACAAGCTGTTTCTTCCTCTTTTTCTTTCTTTCTTTCCTTCTTTTCAAAAGAGAAAAGCCCACTGGAATTGTCTAAACTGCAATGCAATCTCTTGCTCATTTAAAAGATCTCATTTTCTAATCATGTGCTTTGAGACATTTAATACTATTTCAATTATGCAGAGGAAATAATATAATTCCTTTATTTGAAAAATGATACTGAACCTTAGAGATCAGTTAAATCTACTGCTGGAATGGGGATTCTCTTTAAACTGTGTTGCTCCCTCTCTTCAAACAGCTGTAGCTGTACACAGATGGAAAAACATTTGGTCAGAAAGCAGCAAATTAGTGTTTTTCAGGACAGAATTCAGCTCCCGCGGCTTCTGCATCTCCACTGGTCTAGGTTTTATTTCTTCTTTGCATTGACGTTTTTGCAGACCCAGTTCATGCCGTCCTTTGAGGGAAATTGGGTAGAGAAAGGTGGGGTTAGTTGGGAGCAAAGCAACACTCACCCAGCCCTGGGGGCCCAGGTCCTCCCTCCCTGCTGCCAGCTCTAGGGAGTCTGTGGGCCCACCTGGGTCCAGGAACAGTGATCTCCTAGGGAACAGGAGGGGGGCCCCTGAGAGCTCCGGAGGGAGGAGGGAGGGCGTACCCAGTGTCTGAACTTGAGATGGGCCCTCAGGAACTCCCTCTGAAAAAATAAACACATCTGCCTGGATCCAGGCCTGACTGAGGAGCTATCAGGAAAGATTCCAGCCATTTTTGGCTTTTTCTAAAAGCTGACCTTTGCTAGGGCATTAAATTCAATAAGCCACCCTTCTGGTGCCCTGATGTGTTTACAGTGTGACCGTGTACACTTGGGTTAAATTAAATTTCTTTTTGGAAAAACAAACCGACTGCAGTTACTAGATTTGAGCTGGGGCAATATGCATTTATTTCTCTTTGTGCAGCACCACAGGTCAGTTTAAAAGGGCCTGGCCTGAATCCTGTAGCTTTGTGCACTTCCAAGCAGAGGGACTGGGGAGAAGGTTCCCTTAAAGGCAGAGTGACCTTGAAAGTGTCCTCTCTTAGCAGGCTCGAGAGAGACAGAGGTAAAAACCACACAATGCCTACAGCCACCTGGCAGGTGGCACGATTTCTGGCGGATGCCAGGCCTGCCAGAGATGACCTCCTTTTCAACCCCCTCTGCAGCCAGCCCCAATGCTCTCCCTGTCCCCAGAGTCTCTCTGACCTTCACGGGTGTGCAGAGTTCCCCCAGACGCCCAGAACAAAATTAAAGGGGGTTCCTGTCACGAGTCCCTGGCCCCTGCCTCTGTAACACATGCTCACTGGGGCCCCAGTCCCAGCTGCACATCTCAGGACATTCACACGCGCAGAGCCCCGCATTTCCTGGGCCCATGGAGCTAGCTGCTGAACCTGAACAGCTGAGACAGCTTAAAGTAATAAATATCAGCTGACACCCTTGGCCATTCAGAGCATTAATCCCATAAACAATACATCATTGCAAAACAACCAGCAGGCATCCTATCTCCTGGCTAATCTGACCATAACCTGAATTTACAGTGATTAAAACTCTGCCAGTTGCCATCAAAGCACTTTGGGCAGGAGAACGGGGATAATCTGCTGGCTGTCCCAGAGCAGACCTCAGGGCATCTGCCAAGAGGGGGCTGACCATGGCCGGAAGCCCAAAGGTGGAGAGCACCTGGCAGCGGTGGGGCCCAGGGGCCAAGGGTGGAGGAATGCCGAGGTGGGAGAAAGGTGGACTCCAAGTGCATCTCCAATTACAACTGGGTCAGCTGCTTACGCTGAAAAGCTGAGGCCAATTTTAAGACCATTTTATGAAAAGGATTAATTTAAAGAAGCATGTTTAATTTTAGTAGCTAATTGGTTTCCAGGAAAAAAAAAAAGATCACCTGCCAGGAGACAAAAAAGATTACACAAATAAAAGAGGGATGGATAAGATAACCATCTTCTCTGTGCCTCTGCAGCTGAATAGCTCAGCACTTATGTGGCACCTCCATCTCCAGGAACCCGCACGAACACGACCAGGGGTGCACACCACAGTATTTTTCTTTTTCTTTTTAAATAATATAATAGTTTATTTTTACATCATTTTGTGCCTTTTACTGCAGTATTTTCTCCTCTTAGAGACTTGCAATATTTTATCAGATCATCTCAGAGAAACCAAGGACAGTGTTCCCACACTGAATGAATACCATTTTCTTTCTAGTTTTATGGCTGATTACAGAGAGGGTGGGGGGGTTCCTTTTATTATATGTAACTGAACAGAAATGCGGTCAAAGAGATAGGAAAAATATTTACTCAGCTGCAGGAACCCAAAGCAGAAGGTGGAGGGTGAGAGGCAGCGTTCTCCTGGGTATCTGCTGTGGAGGCAGAGGGGGATTTAGAAGGTGGAGGCTGTGGGGTGGGAGTAGGGCTAGGGGTCAATGTCGCACTCCTCCAGAAGTCTGAGAGCCCATGGAAGCAAAGGCCGGCCAGTCAGTCCTGCCAGCAGAGGGCGCTCAGAGGTAAGGACCAACCTGCTGACCGCTGGCCTGGAGTCGGGCTGGGCGGTGGGGGTGGGTGTTTGGGATGGGGTGGAGGGGTGCAGCTGTCTCTGTGGAAGCACAGGAGAGTTAACAGGGGCAAAGCCTCATGGCTGCCCTGCTTCTGGGAACCTACTCGAGCTGCAGTGTTTGGGGTTTGGGGCAAACAGCGCTTCACTCCAAGGGGGCCAAGCTATGCCAGGCTGCCCACTGAAGGAAAGAGAAGAGTGTTGTCCAAGATGCCGGAGGGAAAGGTCACGGTCAGACTGGCTTGAGGTTGTGTTTACAGAACCTAGGATGATGTCTGGCCTATAGCAGACTCCAACCTAAATCTTTCAAATGAATCCTTATAACAACCCTGCCAAATAGGTGCTGTTACCCTCTTCCCACTTTGGAGGACATGGCACAGGACAGAGTGGTGGAAAGAGGGGCTGGAGCCCGGGCGATGCGGTGTTAGCACCCACGCTCCGTAATCAGTCCCCATTTCTCAAGGAGCTCGGCGGGAGGGCGGTTCTCCTCCAGGCTTAGCGGGGACTGGGCATTCCCTGGAGCTGGAAAGGGGGCAAGCAGTTCCAGTTCCCCCTCTCTTCTTATGAATGCAGGGGCACCAGTCTGGGGTAGCCCTTACAAGTGCCCTGCCTGGCTTGGCCGCCCTGCAGGTGGCAGGGGCTGTTTTCAGCCGCTCATTGCCTGTTTCCGGCTGCTGGACACCACTTCTGCGCATGTCGAAGCCCGCATGTCTACCCCTCGCAGGGTAAATGAGTTGCTCAGGCTTCTAGTGGCACTAGCTCCGTGGCCAGCACCTGTGGCCTTGATTGTGTTAACCCTGATTACGGACACCTGGAGCTGGGTGTGCACACCTGCGCCTGTAGGTCCGTGATAGAAGGGCGGCAGCGCTCGGGACGGAGGATGGCGGACGGGCAGATGGCTAAGGGAAGGCGGGAAGGCCGGTGGCGGACCGGGAAGGCCGGTGGCGGACAGCAGGTGAGGTGAGACCACGAGAGAACGCCAGAGAGCGCCCAGAGAAAGCGCTACAGCTTGCTGTGTGTGTGTGTGTGTGTGCGCGTGCGCGCGCGTGTGTGTGTGTTGGGAAGGTGGTGGGGGTGCTCGGGCTGGAGGCTGCTTGTCTCCTGAGCCTCCCAGCCGGGCGGCCTGCCCACCCGCCCACCCGGGCCTGGCTGCCATTATACCTCTCTGCCCTGAGCCTGTGCACTGCGACAGCACTGCCAGTGGAAACTGCACTGGAGACAAATCAGGCAAGGGGAGGATTCCTTGGCATCTTGTGTTTAAATTAGTGCGGCACCCGGCTCTGGCCGACATTTGGCAAGGTTTTGTCACAGACAACTGAGGTTGCTGCTCTGCCTCCGAGGATGGGCCAGAACTCACGGGTTTGTTTAATGGTTGAAGCGTTATTGTCAAAAACTGGCTGGACCCATTTTCTGCACATTTGCTCTTTGACACAGGGAGGACAATCTTATGGCTCAAGGCTCCCCCCTTTCCTCCTGGACCCTTCCCCCTGGCTAACCTCCCTGAAATGGGATTTGCGTTGATTAGCTTCAATTTAATCACAGAGACGAAAGAGAAGCATCGAACCTCAAATACTGAGCTTTGTTTGGCCTCATGGAGAGGAAATAAAATTTACCATGTCATGATATTATTCTCTACTGTAACCACTGGGAAAAATAAAAGGCTGCCCATAGCCAGATGGGTGGAAACCTACTAACCACCGAGTCCTACTTCTCCCGGCCCAAGGCAGGATGCCACTTTCTGTGGGAAGGCTGGCCCCGGACGCCACTGCTCCTTTTAATCTGATCTCCCTACAAGGCATCCACCACCGCCCAGTGGCTGGAAGGAAGTGGTGGCAGACACAGTTGGGTGGGCCTGGTATTTAATGCCGTAAGGACTACACGGTCACGCCAGTAATTGCTTTAAGACGACAAGGGGCTCAAAGCCTCACAGTAATGCGCCTATCCCAACCTGCCTCTGGGCCCCCAGGGTCAAGGAGCAGCTGGATGCAGCATACATAAAATATTGCTTGCTATTAATATTTGTTTCTGGTGACAAAGGGCACTGCACCAGAGAGGTGGCAAAATTGCATGTCTTGAGCTTGCTTTCTTAGTTTACAGAGCCGTCTGAACATTTAAAAATAAAGCTGAGGTCTGTCTTGCAGATAAGCAGTTTCATGTACATTTTCGAGTCAAAAACAACTGATGCCAGGCTTTGAATGAAGTGGTAAATATTTAAAAAAAAAATTGAAATTCTGTTGGCTTATTAAGGGAAAAGTCCCCCCGAAAGAAAAAAAAGAAAGAAATGAAAACTGGGCTAGTGAATGTTCATCTGCAAGGTGCTCCAGAGCCAAGCTCAAGCATGGGGTTCACGCTATTGGACTTTTCTTGGAGGTAAGACTGCTGTGAGCAGGGTCCCTTCTGTTTGGAGACCAGCAATGCAGGCTAGGTGTAAAAAGGGGTGAGTGCACGGTGGGAAGCTAGCCTTTTGCTTGCTCAGAGCTACTGATGCAGGCAGGTCTGTTAGATACCAGATGAAACTACTGAGACCTCCACTTGGAGAGGGAATTTTAGTACAGTACAATTTTAGTCACATCCAACAGTGATTTAGAGAGAAAATGTCTTCAAACAACTGAAACCACAACAGCAAGGAGGGCTGTAGTTTGGGGTTCAAATTCAGGTCTGTAGGTGGAAGAGGGCCTGATTTCGCTACCTTTTTCTGGCTCTAGGCCCAGGAGATCCTTTGTTCACTATTTTCTAGGAGTGGGGGTGGTGAAGCCAGCGTCCCAGGGCTAGATGCAGTTAGGAGAGGCCCTAGCAACCCTGGCCTCACCCAGGGGCAGAGGGAAGGTCTCCCTTCTGTAAGGCATCCCAGGCAGGCTACAGGTTCTCTCCCCACCAACAGCTGTCAGTTTCTTCTCTCTGCCTTCCTCTACTTGATGTATGGGAGTCTCTCCTGTCCCCTCCTCTAGTCTACGGGCCTCTCAGCAGAGAGTTCTTGAGACTGTTGTTCTTTTTCAGCTGCTAGTACCTTTTCCTATGCTCTGAGGTTGGCAGTTTCCTATGAAAACCTGCTTTAATTACATGATGGGCTGGCTTCCTTGTCACCATCAATCGGGGAAAGAAAGATCTGTTTCCAGTTCTCTCGAAGCCTTCAAAAGTCAATTTGCACACCCAGAGCAAGGGCTGCTGAACAGTACATGGCACTGCCTGTTGTAGATAAGACCAGACAAATTTACCTTCAGAGCATCAGGTAGCGCAAGACCCTGCAATCCACTCTAAGAAGCACTAACCTCTGTATCACAAATCCTGCGCTTAAGCCACTTGACCAGACCAGCTCTGTCAGTGCAGAGGGCCCAGCTCACCGTCCAGCAGGGCTGTGGCTCTTCCCCCCACCCACTGGAGGGTGTTATTTATCAGGACAAAACAGGTCTCTCAAGCACATTTGATTAGACTCAGACATACAAGCAATGTAAATAGACAAGCTGTTTTTAAACACCTGGAACTCTAATGGCAATTCCAGGTTTGTTTTTTTTTTTTAACCTTTGTACATTTTCTTTCAGGGTCATTAGAGCTTCAGTGCCAAATGTTACTTGACCCTTTTAGAGTCTGATCATTTTGGTAGATTCTCCCATTACTGACCAGCAGTGGGGGTGGTGTGGTGGGAGGATGGGATAGAATTTAGGAGATTTTAAAAATCACTACACAGTATCTATGTGTGAACGGTGATCTTATGGATATTTTTCTAGTGAAGGCTTTCATTTTTAGGAAGACATAAAGTCTTAATTAATAGGAGTCTTTAAAGGCCTGCACTTGAACTAAGCAAAGTAAGAAAAGAATCCAACAACATGATTCTTTTTAAAGTGAAAACTTAAGAAACTGGTCAAGTGGCCCAGAGCTTAGGTCAGAGGCACAACCTGGGGAAGGGACATGGTCAGTCAGAGCCTCATGATGAAGAGTGTTTGCACAGAAAACTCCATGACCTTTCTCTGGTTCCCAGAGGTTACCATGAAAGGACAATAGACAGCAGATTCCCTTCTTAATTAACATTTTTATTAAATAACCCATTTCAAATAATGGTTAAATTCTCTAAATTTATATCATTCTATTAACCATAATCTAATCTCATTAACCTTGAAATCCCAGTCTTAACTACCCAATTCTATACACCATGGTACTATCTACTAAACTAATTAAGTGACCTTCAAACTATTTCTCCTCCATATAAAATCACTATTTTTTTTTTTGGCTCACAGTTCTTTGTTTGATCTCTCTTGATATCATTTCCTGTGAACCTGGTTGCTGAAGGTCTCTGATCTGAGAAGAAAAATCAAACCACACATGATTGTCTCACTTGAATCAAACTGGTTGATTTTAAAGCATACTCGTTGTTTCCTGCCCCCCACCTCCAACTGTCTGATAGCTCACTGCCTCTCTTCTGGCCTCAGATCCTCTCATGTCAAGGGCACTGCATTTCCATGATGGCTGCACAGCCAGCAAACGGAGCTCTGTGCTTACAAGCTCCACCTGAGTGGAATGGGGAGCCAAGGCCCTGAGCCCCTCACATCTGCAGCTCTGGGATGCAGCACCCTGATAGCAACGCCCCTCCATTAGTAGCCAATTCCAGATGACACATTCCCAAGGCTGACTGGAGAAGCAAGTACTTCACTGTTAATCCTGGCTTTGAGTCCTGGCTTTGATTGTTCTTTCCTTCTTTTTAAATGATATATGTGTATTTATTTATGCACACAAGAACTGGGATCTAGGTCAGAGGTTGCAGGGGTGGGGTGAGACAGAGTCTCACTAGACAGACTGTCACCAGAGACAGAGTTGGGAACAGGACAGGTGAATCCACTGAAACACACTGCTGAGGGGAGCAGCGGGTGGGTCAGGAGAGGTCTGCCACGCCACGTGGGTCACCTCTGTGGCCAGGAATTGAACTTGTGCTGCAGTGGCTGTGGAGAGCTTCACAGTGCTGAGCTTTAACCTGATGCGCCACCAGGGAGGGCCCTAGAGATACCTTGATAGCGCTGAGACTTTACTCCCCTGTTCTACTAGGGAGGCCCCCCTGCTTTTTTTCTTTATTAAAAAAAAGATTATTTATGCATATGGAACTGGGGTACAGGCCAGAGGTGCGGGCGTTGGGGGTAAGAGGATTCACTAGAGACAGTGGGGAGCAGAACAGGCAGATGTACTGAAGCGTACTGCTGAGGGGAGCAGAGGGTGGGACAGGAGAGGTCTGCTGGCCATGTGGGTCAGCTCCTGATTGGGGTGGTAGCTTCATAGCGCTGTGCTTTAACCAGCTGTGCCAGCAGGTTATTCTTTATTATGATATTCTGGGCAGGTGGAAAAAGATTCCAGAGCTGTCAATTTCCTACCTTCTTAGGAGTATGCGCATAAAAATGTATTTTCTTTAGTTTCACTTTTAGCGCCACCAATCTCAAGATGTTCTCTACTTCTGTATTTGTGTTGTATACCATCTAGAGGGGGCAGAGTCCATCTGCTGAAACGGTTTGTGCAAACACAAGAATGCTATTGTCTTTTCCTGGGCCTTATCCTCAGCACAGCCACCTGAGGCCTTGTGAATGCCATCTTACACACAACTGAAGGGAGTGCTTTAGGTAAAACTTGTTCTTTTTCTTAAAGTGAGAGGCTAAATAAAATGATCCAAGTTTACCTTCTCAAAACCATCCTGGGGCTGCGGTGTACTTGTTGGACCAGCTTGTGATTAAGCTGAAGCATGCAGTTAATTTGAAACCAGACAGATACACAGTCATATATGCATGTGCAATTTTATAGTGGAAACTTGAGAAGAAGCAAAGTGTAAGTGGTAGCTAATTCCTTTGTCAAGTGGGATTAGGGGAGAGGAAAGAACTTTTCAGTTTTCAATTTTATATAATTGTATATGATTAACAATGAGACTATATTATTTTTGCGATCAGAATCTAGAAAGGAAGGACTGAAGGAATAAACTAAAGTTGACACCTGTCCTCCTCCTAAACCTTGCCGAGCCCTACAGAACTCTAGCACCCATGTTGGGGTGCAGCCGAGGCAGTCTCTGAGTACTGGGAACTCCCAACACACACACACACACGTACACAGAGCTTCTGAGTACTGTGAAGTCTGGAGGAGGGGGTGCTTGTGTGTTTATTGCTCCACCCTCACATCTAGAGGTCAAGTACAGAAGCAAATCTGGCCTGTTTGTGTAATTGTGGAAAAAAAAAGAGCAGCAAACAGATGGAAGAACTGAGATAATTCTAGGAAGTGATTATTTGCTCGAGATAAAAGCAGTCAGGCAGTTTTAAGAAACCAGTGTCAACTGTCTTTGAAGAGAGGGGAGGATATTAAAAGGGCAATGGAAGGAGGCTACCAGACAATGGGGGTGAGTTAGATCACAGGCTTAGAGTAGAACAAGCAGGTTGTGCCACCTGAGACCTGTGCCCCACCTCATCCCAGAGCAAGGGCTGGCCTCTCTCAGGGCGCTTGTCACTTCCTGGCCGATACCAGATGTATAAAATGAGGCATGTGGAGCATGTCGGGGCTTCAGAATAAAGAAGTTGTCCTTCAGGATAGATGCCAAGCATCAGGTGGGTTGAGGCAGGTTGGCTGGAAGCATCAGAGCTGAGACTGCTTATTGCTGGAGGACAATGCGTCTCAGGTGTCTACAATATTCTGGCCTAGCTGGATACCAAATGAGGGGTGCCTGCCTTCTGGCATACAGTTTCCAGGCAAAAGGCAAAGGCTTTCTGTCAGCAGAAACCTCCCAGTGGGGTCCCAACCCACAGTACGGGAAACAGACACCAACCGTGAGGGCAGAGGAGACCGCTCACAGAAAACAGGAACACCTCCGGGAGAACCACTGTGCATGGCTACTGATGGCTTTGTTACCTTGAGAGTGCAGCTATTTAGCATTTATAATGTTAGATACAACGCAAAACCCCAGCCCAATAGTTGCAGAGTTCTAGAATTTGAAAGCATCTTCCAAGTCTTCTGTTCTGACCTCCTCTCCAATGGGAGAGTTTGCTGCTTGTGTGGATGGTTTATCTGTGGCTTTCCTGGAACCGTTAGTGACATCTTATCAGTCTCTAAACAGAAAAGAATCAACCTCCTCCATACCCTTCATGTCCTGGAAGGGGTCATCTGTCAATCAAAGGCTATGTGTCTCATATCCAATCAGACCAGCCAGTGAGCCAGACGCTCTGGGCTGGCGACTGGCTGCCTTCCGCGCTCTCACCTGAACGCCCTCTCCCGTCAGAGCCGAGCAGGACTGGATCTGCCAGACGCGGTCACGGATGGTGTGCAGGTTCAGTCCTTCTGCAATTTCAGAGGCAGGGGCTGCTGTGAGCAAGTCCTGCTTATTAGCAAAGATGAGCACTGGCACACAGCTTAGCTTTTCTTCCTCCAGTAGTTCGGCTAGTTCCTGGATCATTGGGGGAATGGATGGAGAAGGAAGGAGGGATAATGAAATCGGCGCTATTTTATCACGCACTTCTAATTCAGAGAAAAACAAAAGTTAAGCTGATCAACTGACAACTATAAAGGGCAGTGGCTCTCATGCTTGAAACCTATGGGAGAATCCCCTGGGTCCCACCAGGGATACCAGCATCTGAAAGTATGAGGTAAGAGCCAGGAATCTGAATTTTAAACAAGCCCCTCGCTGGTCCTGCTCTCAGGAGCTCAGTGCTCAGGGACAACAAACACAATTGCGGTTAGAGGTCGAAAACTTACGCAAAATTATCATCTGCAAATGACGTTTGATGCATATGTACAAACGTGTATAGACAGATATTTAAATTTAAACTGGAAATGACAATTCCTTTAGGCACTATAATTCTGCTTCATCAATCTCTAGCTCCAAAATATTTAAGAATGTGCAGTATTGTTCGTCAAATCCACACCCTAAAATAACTGTTATTAGTCCATCTGGCAAGATTCCTGCTTTTAAAAAAAGATTTATTTTTTTTAAAGATTTATTTATGTGTACAGAACTGGGGTAGGGCCAGAGGTATGGCGGGTGATAGGATTCACCAGAGACAGTGGGGAGCAGAATAGGCAGATTGACAAGATACACTGCAGAGGGTCGCAGCAGGTGGGTCAGGAGAGGTCTGCCATGCCATGTGGGTCAGCTCCCTGGCCGGGGATCAAACTTGTGCTGCAGTGGCTTCAGGGAGCCTCATAACACGGTGCTTTAATCCATTGTACCACCAGGTAGAGTCCTAAAGATTTATTTTTTTATGTATACAAAAACTGGGTGTAGGCAAGAGGTAAGAGGATTCACCAGAGACAGAGTAGGGAGTAGAACAGGTGGATCTACTGAAATACACTGCTGAGGGGGGGGCAGCAAGTGAGACAAGAGAAGTCTGCTGTGCCATGTGAGTCAGCTCCCTGGCTGGGGATCAAATTCGTGCTGCAGTGGGTGCAGATAGAGTCACAGTGCTGAGATTTGAACCTGGTGCCACCATAGAGGCCCCTGACTTTTTTTTTTTTATAAGATTTATTTATTTATGTATATAAAAACTGGATAACAGACCAGAAGTGTGGAAGGTGAGAGAATTCACCAGAGACAGAGTAGGGAGCAGAACATGTGGATCTACTGCAATACACTGCTGAGGGGAGCAGCGGTCAGGGGAGGGGAGGTCTGCTGCGTCATGTGGCTCCCCTCCCTGGCCAGGGATCGAACTGGTGCTGCAGTGGCCAGTGGCGGTGGCCAGCTTCACAGTGCTGAGACTTAACCCCTTGTGCCGCCAGGGAGGCCCAAGATTCCTGACTTTTAGGTTAACTCTATGTTGGTTCTGCCTGCAATAAGTACAGGAGACGGTGTATGTTTATCTACATGCCAGGACCAACCTATCCCTCATTAAACCCACATTTTCCTGCATAAACCACTGGACCTGTCAAGGAAAACTGGGAGGATCAAGAAGCCGATGAGTAGCTGACACCCTTCACCTCCAAACTCCTGTCAGCAGTGGTTCACATGGGTGATGAGCCAAACACCAAGGTACGCAAGACTGCCTTCAGAAGTCTGGAGAGTTCTCCCCTTAATTTCTGGGAAAAAGGAGCATAAACGTGGAGTCTGCTATCTTTGCAAGGCCACCTGTGGTATTTTAGGACCTAGGCCAAGGGCTCCAAAATGAGACGTGAGCATCTTTTCCAAAGAAGGCCACTCTAGTCCTCGCTTCTTTCCAGTATGTTCAGTCTGGGCAAAGTGGCCCACGCCCACTGCCTCTCCAGGCCAAGATGCAACAAACACTGCCTGTGTCACGGCACTGATATGCACTCCGTGCCAGAAGCCATACTGGGGTTCAAGCTATACCTTATTTCCTGTCTTGTAACAAGAGCAGCTTAGCTGTGGCTTGCACTTTTCTTCCTATCCTGTAGATCTTAGGGGTCAATGAAGTGGTTACTGAGAAATGTACATTGAAATGAGTGGTGAATTCTTTTGATGGCTCCCATGTGGATGGGCCTGGGAAGAAACCTTAAGAGCTTTGGGACATGGTGGCAAGTTCCATTTGCTTATGTCTTATTTATTCAGTTTGATTAAAAACTTTAATCAAAAATTGTTTAAAGGATTCTCAACTAATTTCTTTTTAGGCAACTGGTATTTTTGCATGCTTGCCAGAATGACCGCAAAAGTTAAACAACAACAACAAAAGCCTTCTCACTCTTGTACATTTACAAGGTAGATTAATGAATAGCCAGTTATTTGCGAAGTATCTCAACAGAAGAATTATTTACCTGACCCGTCTCTTCAAACCTTTTTCTGTCTGCACTGTCAATTACATAGATCTGTAAAGTCAAAAAAAAAAAAAAAAAGGTTACATGAATAAGCAGTTTTGGAGAAAACCAGGGCTGCTTCTACAGAAGGATCAGGTGACCCCCAATCACAGATTTTGCAGTATCAGACATTGATCACCCAGGATGTGAATTGAAAACTCTTCTCTTCTAGCTTCTGGTCTGCTTCCTTCCTGCTGCCACCTCTTGGCCATTTTATTGCTCCTAGATATTTCCCCACCAGTGGGGATGCAAGAGGCAAAACTTGTGGTTTGGTAGCCTGATACCCACATGTGAGCGATACCGTTATGGAAGTAATACAAGAGATGGCTGTTTGAGATAGATCTCACTTTATGTTTTATACTTTGGGTGTGGGGATGATGATGAAGTTCCTTTGCTTAAATTGTGTTGCATTTAACATAATAATAACAAAGTTTAGTTGTAAACTCCACCTTGAAAGTATACCTTGGAAAACGAGCATGTAAGCTTAGGTATCAACAGGCTGTTAATTCCTGGTCTAAGAGAAATGGAAGACACCCTACCTCTTGCATCTATCATACCTCATGTTTTCTTTGTCACTTCCCCCAAGTTAATAAAGCTGAAATCTTCCCCGAGAATAACTCTGGCACTGGTAGCACGGGATCTAGGTCTTTAAAACTCCAGAGACCCATTTAATGCTGTAAAGCAGCGGTCAGCATTGTGTTTTTTTTTTTAATTAAATATATTTTAAATCATTGTTCGTTTTTGTTTAGTTTTTTTTTCTCTCTCTCAGGTGTCATCCCCATAAAATCCCCACCAAGTCACCTGTGCATCATCACCATAGTCTCTTGTGCTTTTCCCTCCCACTTTGGTACCTCTCCCTCCCCTGCTCTAGATCTCTGATTTATAATTGCCTGCTAGTTTTGTCTTGTCTCTTTTTTAAATTTCCTTACCCCTGGTTTGGTTTCCCTATATACTTCCTATAAATGAAATTATCTGATACTTTTTTCCTTCTGACTTATTTTACTGAGCATAATCCCATATAGCTCCATCCATGTTGCTGCAAATGGCATGAGTTTATCTTTTTAATAGCTGAGTAGTATTCCAGTGTATGTGTATGTGTGTGTGTATAGATCCAATCATTTGTTTTTGGACATTTAGGTTGTTTCCATATCTTAGCTATTGTAAATAATGCTGCAATTAACATAGGAGTTAATTCTTTTCAAATTGCTTAAGTGTCCTTTGGGTAGATTCCTAAGAGTGGAATTGTTGGGTCCTGTGGTAGATCCATTTTTAGTAATTTGAGGGTCTTCCATACAGCTTTCCATAGTGGTTAGACTAGTCTGCAGTCCAACCAGCAGTGTAAAAGGGTTCATTTTTCTCTACATCTTGGCTAGCATTTTTTGTTGTTAGCATTTTTATTTATTTATGCATACAAGAACTGGGGTGTAGGCCAGAGGTATGGGGGGGGGGAATTCACCAGAGACAGAGTAGCTAGCAGAACAGATGGATCTTCTAAGGTACACTGCTGAAGGGAGCAGCAGGCAAGACAGGAAAGTTCTGCTGCACCATGTGGGTCACGTCCCTGGCCAGGGATTGAACTCATGCTGTAGTAGCTGTGGATAGCTTCATAGTGCTGAGACTTTAACCCCTGTGCTACCAGAGAAGGCCTGCTGTTAGTTTTTTTAATGTGGGCAATTTTATTGGTGTGAGGTAATATTTCAGGTGAGGTGATAAATATGCTAATTCATGGACACTTTTGTGGCTAATGAGAAATATTGAATCAAGGGTCATACTATAACTACTTTGCAGTCTGCCATCAAGGTAGTAAAACCTATGATTTAAAGATTTATTTATTTATTTATTCATTCAAGACCTGGGGTACATTTCAAAGGTGTGGGAGGTGATAGACATTACCAGAGGCAGAATGGGGAGCAGAACAGGCAGATCTTCTGAAATACACTGCTGAGGGAAGCAGTGGGTGGGTCAGGAGAGGTCTGCTGCGCCATGTGAGTCAGCTCCCTGGCTGGGGATTGAACTCGTGCTGCAGCGGTGGCAGATAGCTCCATAGGGCTGTGCTTTAATTCATGCCACCAGGGAGGGCCCAGAACCTATGATTTAAAATTACCCTATCTCCTCCCTTCCTATAGACCAGAAAGTTTTAGAAGCTCCTAATGGCGCCTCAGGCATTAATACCCTTAGATACTGCTCTTATTTGGCTATTACGAAGTACCTTAATGCAGCAGATGAACAAGAACCATTATTATTCTCAGCCACCTAGTTTTTCCCAACTGACTCAAAAAGCAAAATCTATAGCATTTAAAAAAAGACTTATTTATTTATGTATCCAAGAGCTGGGGTGTAGGTAAGAGGTGTGGGGTGATAAGAGGATTCACCAGAGACAGAGTGGGGAGCAGAATAGGCAGACTGACTGAAACACACTGCTGAGGTGAGCAGAGGGTAAGACAGGAGAGGTCTGCCATGCCATGTGGGTCACCCCCCTGGTGGGAATTGAACTGGTGCTGCAGGGATTGCAACAGCTTCATAAAGCTGTGCTTAATCTGTTGCACTGCCAGGGAGGGCCCCCCATGCTAATTTTTTTTATTACATGAGTTTATTTTTACATCGTTTTGTACATTTTTTTTCCATCTCGATTGTAATCCCCACGGGTTTCCCATCACCAAAACCCCCGTGTGCCACCACCATAATCCCGTGCATTTCTCTCCCCCCACCCCCGTTTTTGATCCCATTCCCCACTCCACCCCCTCAAAATGTCTCTGGTATATGGTTGTTCATTATTTTTGTTATTTTCTCGCCTGGTCCATTATACTCCTGCTATGAGTGAAACCATCCAGTATTTTTCTTTCTCTTTCTGGCTTATCTCACTAAGCATGATCTTTTCCAGCTCCATCCAAGTTGCTGCAAAAGACATGTGTTTCTCTTTTTTGGTTGCTGAGAAATATTCCATTGTATATATGTACCACATCTTTTTTATCCAGTCATCTACTTTTGGGCATTTGGGCTGCTTCCCCCATGCTAATTTTTAATTCCTTTTAGATTCACAGGATTACTGAGTAGAAGTGCTGAGTGTTCCATATACCTAGCACCTCCACCCCAACCTTGGGTTCCCCTAGTAACATTTCCTGTTAGTATGGAACTGTGTTATATTAAACAACCAATCTTGATACATTAGGTTTATTCTTTGTTTTAAAGTTCTATGGTTTTGACAAACCCTTAATGACTTGTATCCATTATAACAGTTTCATATAGAACAGTTACCCCTCTAAAAATCTTGTGTCAGCTTTCATCCCTACCCTCACTCTGGCAATCACTAATCTTTTACTTAGATTTTTTTTTTTACTAATTTCTATATTTCTGCCTTTAAAAAGTCATTATAGTTGAGACTTTATAGTTGAGAATGTATTCTTTTTAGGTTGACTTTCACTTAACAGTATGTATTTAAAGTTTCCCTCATGTCTTTCTGTGGTTTGATAGCACATTTCTCTGAATAGTATCAGTGAATATCGTGACTGAATAATATTCCATTATATGGGTATTAAGCTTGTTCATCCACCTACTGGAGAACATCTTAGTTGATTCTAGTTTTTAGCGATTATAAAAAAAACAACCTATAAATATTCGTGTTTGGTATTTTGTATGCACAAAAAAGTTTTCAACTCATTGGGTGGATACCTTGAAAGGTGATTGCTGGACATGTAAGACTATGTTTAGCTTTGTAAAACTGTCTTCCAAAGTTACTGTATCATTCTGCACCAACATTGAATACAAATTCCTATTGTACACATCTTCATCAGCACTTGGTATGATCATCAAAAAATAGCCATTCCATAACTTGGTGCAGCAGGTTAAAGCACAGCACTAAGAAAGAAGCTAAAGCCACTTCAGCATGAGTTTGATCCCTGCCCTAGAGGTGATCCACCTGGCATGGCAGACCTCTCCAGGCCCACCTGCTGCTCCCCTCAGCAGTGTACTTCATCCATCTGCCTATTCTGCTCCTCATTCTGTCTCTGGTGAATCCTCTCACCGCCCCTGCACCCCAGTTCTGTATGCATAAATAAATCTTAAAAAAAAAAAAAAAAGCCATTCTGGGGCCTCACTGGTGGTCCAGGGTTTAAAGTATCAAATACTACTGAGCTATCTCCACTTTGGCCTGAGTTTGATTCCAGGCTGGGAGCTGACCCACACAGTGCAGCAGACCTCTCCTATCTCACCTGTTGTTCATATCAGCAGGGTAGATCTGCCTGTTCTGCTCCCCACTCTGTCTCTGGTGAATCCTCTCACACTCCACACCTCTGGCCTTCACCCCAGCATAAATAAATCTTTTAAAAAATTAAAGGCCAACTGTTGTAAAATAAAAAATTAAAATAAAAAAATAAAGGCCAATGTACATATTTTTTCATGGATCATGCGTTTGGTGTTGGATCTCAAACCTTATTGTCAATCTCTAGGTAAGACTAATTTTGAGTCAATTTTTGTGAAAAGGGTAAGGACTCTGTCTACATTCTTTAAAAAAAAAAACAAAAAAACCCAATAATTTGCATATGGGTGTGCCAGGAGCCATTTGCTGAAAAGACTATCCTTTCTTTAGGAAACTGTCTTACTTCTTTCTCAAAGATTAGTTACAACATTCATGTGGGCCTATATTTGGGTTCTCAATCCTGTTTTATTGGTCAGTGTGTCTCTTCTTTCTCTACCCTGCCTTGATTACCACAGCTTTAGGGTAAATCTTGAAGTCAAGAAGTATCAGTCCTCTAGCTGTGTTCTTCAGGACTGTGCTAGCCATTTTGGATCTTTTGCTTTTACATACAAACTTTTTTGTTGTTAATAATATAATAGTATTTTTACATCATTTTGTGCCTTTTTCCATCTCAGTTGTAATCCCCATGGGCTTCCCATCACCAAATCACCCGTGTGTCATCACCACAGTTCAGTGCACCCCCCCCCACCATTTTTGATCCCATTCCACACTCCACCCCCGAAAAATGTCTCTGGTATATAGTTGTTCATTATTATTATTTTCTCCCCTGGTCCTTTATACTACTGCTGTGAGTGAAACTATCTGGTATTTTCCCTTTTCTTTCTGATTTATTTCATTAAACATTACATGCAAACTTTTAACATCAGTATGTCAATATCTACAAAATAATTCAGGGGCATTTTGCTTGGATTGCACTGAATCTATGGTTCATCTATATAATGCACAGATTAAGTTCAGTAGAATTGGTAATTTTTTTTTAAGAGTTACTCATTTATACATACAAGAACTAGAGTACAGACCAGAGGTGCAGGGGTGGTGAGAGGATTCACCAGAGACAGAGTGGGGAGCAGAACAGGCAGATTGATGAAGTACACGGCTGAGGGG